TTTACTGACATGCACTTATCAATAATAATTATAATCAATCAATTATTGATAGTAATAATACACTAAAGAGATACTAATAATAGAGTAGTTATTATTACAATTTATTGTGGATGAGGTAGTCGTGCATGTACATCATAATAGCCAGAGGTTGTCCCAGTATAATGGATACCCATACCACCACATTACCAGGCTGACCTCTCATCACTTCTAATGACGTTAAAAGAGCTAGCGGTACCTGAGGGGGAGGGGCATTAGTGGGTGGAGTTAGGAGGTGTGGCTTACTTGAGATAGCATAGCAGTGAATGCCCAGGGCCTTAGCATACGCAAAGGAATACTAACCAAATACTGAGAGGGAGGGAGGGAGAGAGAGAGGGTTTAATGTATACACATGTATGTGATAAAATTGATGAATTCTCTCCTAGTCATTTTTCATAATATACCCAACACTATAGTTCAGTGTTTTTGGTATAAAAGCACTTGATACTTCTAATTTTTAGACTGCAAAGAATGACCCAGTCACAAAAGCACACTACACTACGAAGCTAGGATTATTATCACAGTAGATAATCATAATACTACAGACACTGGGTATCTCCCTACACTGATACCATTATACCATACCATATATGGTAATAGACTAGTAGTTCATAAAAATCCAATTTCAATCGAAATCAGCTCAAACTTTCTACACAATACACAATATAAGTACATGTACATTCATCAGATACGCTGCACTATATACAAGAGGTCCAGTATAATGTCACTCACTTCATGAAAGAAAGCTGACAACAGGAACACTGCTATCTGAGACATAACCCTGGAATACCCTCTACTGAGCAACGGGTAATACACATGCCTATTAATAACCATTAATAGCTATTAATAACTAGCTCCACCCACCTAGCAGCCCAGCGGTGCACTGGTACATTCCAGTGTCTCCAGAAGGTATCAATACTGTCAGCGTTCCACCAGTCCTTGTAGAAGGAGCGATCACCAAACCTCAGTAGCTCAGCAAGGACGTTGAGATAGGAATGGAAATAAAAATAGAATAATAATAACCAGAGGAGGTGATTAGGGAGCTATTGGTTGGGAGGGGCTAATGAATATTAATGAGGTGATCAATTAACTAACCGCTAGTAACAGTCCTCTCTGTATCATCATTAATAAATCCATTGACTAGTAATAATAATAAAATAATAAATGAATATTAATTGATGTACAACCGTACATGTACAGAGCAAAGTTTTTGAAGTATAAATATTTGCTAATGATTGATTAATTGGTAAATTTCGTGGGGTATTAATTTTCATTAATTTTGTGGGTAATTTTTATCCACGAAATTTTAACCCCTACCCACCCACACATAAAAACTAATAACGGGCCATGCAGAGCTCTAACTGCCATTTCCAAGCCAGTGGAGGAGCCAAAGTCTTTGTCTGTTATTCCATATTCCACTATAAGCCATGTGTTGGAAGCTAGTCCAGTAGATCCAAGTGAAAAGAAGTTTGCTAACTACCATCCACGAATATTTGTACCCACGAATATTAGCTTCTAAGGACATTTGGAGAAAACACGAAATTTGGACCCTCGAATA